AAAGAAGGAAGGGAGGAAGAGGGGAAAGAGAGGAATAGAAGGGTTAGCGTACGGCGGGAGGGGAGAGACGGACAGGAGAAAAGCGAGATGTGGAGGGAAGGAAGAAAGGAAGGAAGGAAGGAAGGAAGAGGGGAATAGAAGGGTTAACGTCCGGTGGTAGGGAAGAGAAGAACAGGAATAAAGCGAGAAATGGAGGGAGGGCGGACAGGAGGAGGAGGTGGGGGAGGGGGAGGGGGGTAAGATAGGGGGTAGAGAGAATGGAGAGGGAAAGAGAAGGATAAGGATGGGGTGAACAGAAGAAGGACGAGAGAGAAGGAACGAAGAAAGGGGTGGTGCGGGTAGGCCTGGAAGGGGAATGCGGAGGAGACGGACGGAGAAGGAAGAAAGAACGATAGAAAAGGAGGAAGGGCATGAGATTGGAAACAGGAGGAAGAAGGGAATGAGATTGGAAACAAGAGGAAGTAAGATAAACGGCGGGGGAAAGGGAAGGAAAAGAGGAGCGTGCAAACAAGGCGAGGGCGAAGGACAGTCCAGAGGCGACGGAGGCGTAGGAGGAAGCGGGCGGCCCAGTTCTGACGGCTCGGGCGGGCGTCTGTCGTGGGCTGGAGGTCGGACGGGCCCCCGGGGGGAGTGGGCCCCACGGGTCGGGCCTCGCGTGTACGGCGTCCTGGTGTTGTTTATTTCCCAAGGGATTTTATTGTGTGTCATCTCCTCCTCTGTCGGACGGGGCTGGCTGCTCGGGCGTTGCAGGGAGCTTGACATTTTAGCCTGACCTTCGTGCTGTTGTGGAATGGGTCTGACGCGCGGAGGGAAGGGGTGATGGGGGTGGCTTAGGGCCCCCCTCCTTGCCCCTCTGTCCTTCTCTCTCTCTCCCTCCCTCCCTCCCTCCCTCCCTCCCTCCCTCCTTCCTTCCTTGTCACCTGGAGGGAAGTCTGAACACGAAGCGGCGGCATCACAATTAAGCCACGGGGATACCTGGACTCGCCGCTCCCTGCCGGAGGGGCGGACACTCCCGAAGCGGCCCTGATGGCTGCAGTGCCCTTCCTACTCCGCCCCTCCGTTCCTCACAGACGCCCGTGTCTGTGATCACGGGGTTTAAGTCGTCGAGAATTTCCACGGAGGAGAGATGGGGGGGGGGCGACGCACACCGCGGACGGACGGACGCTTAGCCTCCGTCCTCCTTGATGGACGGACGCCCAAGGCATTTCCATGTCGAGATAACGGTGGTCGGGGAATCCCCTTTCTCGCTGCTCGGAGGAAGGGATTCTGTATGACCGGGGGGGTGGGGGGTCTCATCTCCCCGATCGTCGTTGACTTCGCGAGCGGTCGGACGCTGAGGCCGGCCTTATCCTGCTGCGTGCTTCCCTTCTGCAGAGGTGCCGTTGAGCGTCGCGCGTCCCGGAGAGATCGTCAAAGCGTTGTCCCCTCCACCCCTACCCCCCCTGGGAGTATCGAAAGGCATCTCCGCCCTGCCCTGTCCCCGCGACGGATGTGTCGAGTCATGCCGTTGACTCGAACTCGCCCGCGGATTAGATGCGAGGCGATCGCACAGCGCCTTCTACAGAGAGCCTTCTAGGAATGCATTGGCAGCGCCTCGGGGCTGAGCCGGATCTTACTCAATGCTGATTCTTGTACTGATTGAATAAAGGCTCGATGGACGTGCGATAGGAGAAGAGATAGAAGGGGAATAAGAGAAAGAAAGAGGACGAGCATTGGGTCTGGACTCGCGGGGCAGCGGGCGCCGTCGCCGTGCCAGGATTCCCTCCGGTTCTTCAAGCGCACGGCGGACGGACGCGTGCTTCCGGCGGGCGCGCGAGAGCAAGCACGCCGCGACTGCTACATTCACCGCAACTCAAGCAGGCACTTGGCACATTCACTCGATTCGCCTCATCTATCACGCGTTGGGTCAATACCGCGTTGCTGCCCGAGTGGGGAGTGACGAAAGAGGGTCATGCTTCGAGGGGCGAGGGGGGAGGGGGGGCGCGGAGCAATTCAGACGGGGGAGAGAGAGAGAGAGAGAGAGAGAGAGAGAGAGAGAGAGAGAGAGAGAGAGAGAGAGAGAGAGAGAGAGAGAGAGAGAGAGAGAGATAGCCTTACAGACAGATCGGCGGAGGCAGAAAAGAGTCGAGTGGAAAGAGGGGAGGGTGGGGGGGAGGGGGGAGGAGGAGGACGAGCCGGGGACAGCGCTGGCCGTGCGGTGGCAGAGCAGCGATAAATAATGTAACGACAAGCAGGTTGTGTGGAAGGTGCGGCGACCTTGGGAGCAGCGAGTGGCCACCTGCTGGATGTGGAGTAGCGGCGAGGCCCTCACTTCCTGCTGCTGCTCTCGTTCCTCCTGCTTTCGCCTCTGGCTCTGCTCTCCCCCCTGCTTTTGCCTTCCACCCCCCTCCCCCTCCCCCGCCCTCTCCCCCCGTCGGCTCCGTCGTGTTCTCGAGATGGGCGTCGGAATTTCTGTGGTGTGGAAATGGGTATTATGCCTCTTGCTGGCCGTGAAGGGCAT